AGAGAGAGAGAGAGAGAGAGAGAGAGAGAGAGAGAGAGAGAGAGAGAGAGAGAGAGAGAGAGAGAGAGAGAGAGAGTGCCCCACTCGAGCAAGTGCAGTATCTGCTTCGACCACTTCCGTGGTTCATCGAGATGGTAAAAAATGGGGGGAAAAAAAACAAGCGCGCCCACGATGCGGGAGAGACTAGAGAGAGAGCGAGAGGGAAAGTGAGAGAGACCCCAGTCTAACCAACTATGCGCCAGTTGCCTCCCCCCGCCCCCCTACAAACGAGTGTACTATCTGATCCATGGTCCAAAAAAAAAACGCAGGCACGCGAGAGAGAGAGAGAAAAAGAGAAACTCAAACATCCCCCTGCGATCAGGTGTAGTATCTGTTCCGGTCAGTTTCATATCTGATCTGTGGCTGATCAAGACCTTCAAAAAAGAAGGGGAAAAAAGCGGAAAACCATTCGCGCACTGATCATTTTAATTGAGGAAAAAAACAACAACAAAGGAATCATGAGTGATTTCGGAATTAAAAGAAGCCGGAAACACAAGCGACAGGCAAGGGAAGCATGAGAGTCCATTAACTTCTTGGCAAACATTCCATTTTTATTGCGGGCGTAGGCCCTACAGGTCCCCTAGTATACCTGGGAACAGCCTAACGGCTGGGCTGGGTTCAGGGGTATGTACGAACACCGTTGGTACCAGAAGGCTCCTGGTAAAAACGTGCAAGGGACCGACATGTAAAATGTGTTAGTACCGAGGACATAGCAGGTAATAGAAAATGTCTGGGACCTGGCATGAGGTCCAGGGAGCGAGCTCTGGCCAGATCCGCAACAGTTGTCTCGAAATTGAGTGCGTCTCCCTTTGTCTAATTCCACTTCTCCTCGAGTTGCGATGTAGGCAGTTGTTTCAAAATTGAGTGTTGCTTAATGAACTTAACAGTATCATAGCATCTCAGGTGTCATTCTGGTATGTTGGTATGACCGTTGTATCATGGTTCTCTTATCACTTTCAGTACGACCTCTGATTATGTTTCACTACAGACAGGCCTTCTCGACTCTCATGGAGAAAGACTGAGATTCATATGTCTGTTATTCACAGTTCCTTCTCTAAGATATGGCTGTATCTGTCAGGCATTTTGGATATTTTGGATTATAGTCAACGGTTATCTTGTACAGCATCCGGATGCCTAAAGCTCTTGATGTTAGTAGAGATTAAGAGTTCCATGCATGATCGGCAAAAAAAATAATGCCCTTGGATCGTGCATGCCGATCTTGTAGGCAACTTATATGGCGTTCGCTCGATCTTTGGTCATGGCGAATCTAAGGTTACCCTGAAAGTAATACCTAAGATCACGGAATGCACATTCCCATTCACTTTTTTTCTGAATGAAAGGAAAGATCAGGTAAAGTCTTAGTTGCGGTATGACATATTGGGGATTGCTGTCTTGTACTTGTGTTCTTCCCTTCGCTTGGCTGCTGTTGCGCAGGTGTGGTCGATTCTGCTTAATGATGCGGTGCCATTCCGGTTGCACTGGCCTGCATATACCGACCTGCAAATCAATGGTGAGGCCCTGGAAGACGATGTGCTTCTCCCTGTGTGCTCATTGCTTTTGTATGGATGCATTGCTGGGCAGAGCACCTGCAGATTTACTGTGATTGTTAAACCGCCAGTATGTTTTCCGGCCAAAGAATTAATTATGTTGCTTAAAGCGGTGGAGCATGTGGTTTAATTCGGCATGTGGTTTAATTCGATACAACGTGCAAAACCTTACGAGCCCTTGACAAGTCCTTGACAAGTCGCTAACTAAGGACCTCCGTGAGAGCTGTATGTGAGGAAACTTGCACGTACTGTTCGATAAAGGCTCTCTGATGCCTACCCCGTCTTCCCGCGGCTGCTGACACGGAGTGCGGCTCGAAGAGCGGTCGTTTTCGGGTAAGCATACCCTGCAGACGGAATACATACGCATATGACCTTTCCCGAAGAAGAGTTTGCGAGTGAAATGAGACAGGTGAAGTCGAGGTAACTTCGTTGCGAGTTCGAAAACAAAAGACAAACCACAAAGACTCAGGATCCAACACGAGAGTCAGGATCCAATGCGAGAGGACTGGGATGGGTCAGTGGCATTGCCGGGTAGCTGGGCGCCGCATCGACTAGTCGCCAATCTCACGTCTCAGTGTGAGAATTCGGAGGACCCAGACCCCAGCAAATAGCCCAGTGGTAATAGACAACATGAATTACGTGTAATGTACTATTCACTACAGTCACCTGTAAGAACTTAGGCCGGTGCATCTTCCGGGCCTCAGTCTCCAGAAGCAAAATGGCTGGCGGCGCCAGGCAAAAGAAGGCCTGACCCCGTTCTTTTTGTTTTTTGGCACGCAGACTGCTTCCGGCCCTGGAAAAAAGTGCCTAGGAAGTGCTGGTGGTTTGCTGCAACAAAATCGTGGAACAATCTCGAATCAGATGGGGACTGGTACCTTTTCCCTCTCTGCACAGTATTCCTGCACCTTTGGGGTCTTCAGTGGTTGGTACAGATAACTAGCGTAGTCCCAACCTCCTCTCAGCAGCCATCAAGTACAGTGTTGCTTAATGGTGTCAAAAGCATCAGAGAGGGATGTTTGCATTTTGTGCAATCTGCAGAATGGAAACTCAGTGGAGGACATGCAACAATCTAGAGAGAGATTTTTACACTTGTATGAGAGGATAAAGCTGACCATGAAGCACCTCAGATTTGGAGTGACAACTAACTGCGAGTTTCGAGCGTCTATCAACCCTGCCACTCACTACAGTGCATGACCTCAACCTGTGGTAGTCATACTGAATAGATGCGTGCACTGGATCTACTAGACACAATCACGGTTGTAATAGGAACAAAGGAAACACGAAAGGCAAAGACATTATGGAAGATGCAGAAGTACACTGTTTCACTTCCTTAACTAACGATTATTCATGTATGATCTGGTCAGTCGAACGTTTGACAGGTCATGAGAAGTGTGCAACGGTAGGCCTCTCTGGATGCCTGGTCAAACACCTTATTCCAGGCAGAGGTATGCTGTTTCACCACCCTCTAGCTCAGTAGCAATTGCGAATCGGGGTTGGTGATATAGAGTGGATCTATCATTTAACAGCTCATAAGTAGTGTGCAAGAGAACTTCACGACCTACCTCATCGCTAACCAGCACTGAAACCAGGAACAACAACTTTGATGTCTTTTAGGTCAGAACTGCCTTTCATTCTTGCTCTCGTCTAGGCCAGAAGTGCATCCCATTCTAAGAGCAGGAGCAGAGCTTTTCAACTTTTCCCTTTCATTTCCACTGCTCCTTGTTGTGTATCTCTTCCTCTTCTTTTCCTGGTTCTCTTTGTTCCGCTTGTTACCCACACACACAGGCTTGCAAACTCACCTGGATGGAGAACCGCATCCCAGTTCTCTTTTCTTTCTCTCACACTTATACCTGCCAAAATTGTTTGTGTGAAGGGGGAATGTAATAAGCAAATGGGACTTCTGGTGAGGAGAGAAAGGAAGTGAACACACACATATAAGGTTGGTGTCGAGGGACAATTCAAGAAATTGTGCCCAGAAACGTTCTGGGCGCTGTCTGTGCTCAACAGCCCTGTGAAGTACTTAATCGAGAATCTGATGCATGGAGCACAATGAAATCTAAAGAACACAGAACGAAAGAGACACAAGTAGCAAGCAATGTGTGTGTGCCATCGGAAGAATTTAGTTGTCGCAGATGAATACTTATGCCGGCCCCGGGTATCTCGTTGATGTTTTTCATCTGTGTGGGCGTAGCCGCAGTGGCTTTACTTGTTGTCCTTAAATCTCCTTCGAATCGAAGTTAGTGTCCCATGGCTGCTGATTGGTCTGCTTTTGCAATCAGCAGTGCAAGACTATCCCTTTGCACGAGTTGTTGCACGGGCACTGTTGGGCAACCATCTTGTAATCATAAACCTAAAAGACGTGCACTTGGCGGAGGGTACAACTTGAAGGTCTTAGTGCGAAAACAGCAGTGCTTGGAATATAAAGCTGGGTGAATGTTGGATCGATAACAGAATGTGGGCTGGCAATGACTTTGTGCCTAGAAACATGAGCCTGCCATAGGACTGGCCCAATTGGGTGTCATCCTCACTCTCTTGGAATTGAATGCTAAGAAATTGCTGCTGAGGAGGTGGCCTGAGATTTGTATGTCGGTACCATCTGTGCAGTTCGATAATTTGAAAGAGCAGCCACTAACAAATGCTGAGAAATTGCCGCTGAGGGGGTGGCCTGAGATTTGTATATTGGTACCATCTTGGCAGTTCGATAATTTGAAAGAGCAGCCGCTAACAAATGCTGATACTGGTGCTTACTGATCTCTCTCTCTCTCTCTCTCTCTCTCTCTCTCTCTCTCTCTCTCTCTCTCTCTCTCTCTCTCTCTGTCTGTCTCTGTCTGTCTCTCTCTCTCTCTCTCTCTCTCTCTCTCTCTCTCTCTCTCTCTCNCTCTCTCTCTCTCTCTCTCTCTCTCTCTCTCTCTCTCTCTCTCTCTCTCTCTCTCTCTCTCTCTCTCTCTCTCTCTCTCTCTCTCTCTCCCCTGCATGCTCCTCATCCTCTTCTCCTGGAGTGTATAATGCGCTGTTTGGTTTGAGTTTCAGGCCTGAGATTGATGCATCCCAAGTTGCCAGCGGTAAATATCTCTAATGGAACCATTTGTAGGTTGTTTGTGGCATTCCGGTGTGATTCTGACTATTGATTAGTTACCTCATTGCAGGTACTCAAGTCCGCGTCACAAACAGGCCAGGGCAGCAGAAACTGGGTCAGAATGGTCGAGACGACTTTGCCCGTGTAAGAGCTGTGCCAGCCTCTTGATTCTATGGCAATTGGTAGAATGCCTTCTGGCAGTGTATGCCAAGTTTGCATGCATTGTAAACCAATAAGAACAGTGAATAATCTGTGTTACCGAGCACAGTCCTGTACTAAAGTTTGACTACAGTATGTAGGTTTGGCCTGAAGAGGGGCGATAGTCACAATGCTATTTCCCTGGTGTGATGGGAGCAGGTATCTGGTAAATGTTTTCAGGAATGCTTTCCAGGAGATTGCAGTTGTTGTAGCGGGTGATAGGAACTGGGGGCTATCTTGCTTGCTATTGCAATTGGTGCTGGTGTGAGTTGTGAGTGCTTTTTCTTCCTTGCACTTGTTTTCCTTCTTATGATTGGGATGATCTGGTGTGTGCATGCTTTGGATGGACACTCTTACGCATAGTCACACACACTATATGATCTGGTAAAGTTCTTATAACTCCCCTCTCAATGTGCACACATCCAAAACTGAAGCAGCTTTACTTTCATATGAAAAAAAGCCTGGTATTTACAGACCCATCCACATGGATGCATATGAAAAAACAGCAAACAAAGCAATTAAGCACTCAAATGCAAACTACCAGCATATATCACCAAATAAGATATAGGCCTCACACCCTCACACTCCAGCTTTCTTACCAAATCTCTCTTAAACGTTGCCTTCACACAGCACCGGAATATGCATTCACTCCGTAGGATGTGTGTTATCACAGGACGCTGAATGACAGTCCTGGTGGCTGTAGTAATGATTGAAACGAAAGGTCCGCATGAGTATCCTCATGGGTGAGTGAGTGTGAGCCTGTGGGGATGTTTGGACGTGCTTGAATGATTGTGTGTGCCCATAACCATGGTTTCATGTGTGGTCCTCATAACCATGTTATGCAGGAAGGGGATTGCAACGTGGAAAACGAAATATGACAGAAGGAACCCAGCACGAACACAGAAATGCACACATGGCAGAACGAGAGGGAATAGCACAAATGCATGCTAGGAGCAGGGACAGATGTGTGTGTCGACATATCCATTGTGCAAGTTCGTGGAGATGCTGGGTTCCCTGACCGGTCCTCCGTGGTTCCCGGCTGTTCGCTGTCAACAAAAACAAGACACCTGCGGTCCCCCATGCCCGTTTCTGCGTCAGGGATGCGATGATGGGAACCCTGACCTTGGCTTGCGTGCAGGGGCCCTGTGCGGCAACCCTGCTGTAAACACAGTGAGTCCACAGCTGTCTATCTGAGCATTTGAAAGCTTAGCCAGTGGCAAACTGGACCCCTAAGCAGAGTTCCTAAGGCTATGCATGACTTCACAGGAGATGTCACTTGGTATGTGCACCACTGTAGCCTTTGTCAAGCACACTTTTGTGATCACTGCCAGCCAATATCTTGGGTGACGTAACAAATAGGGGCCATTTTTGGACAACTTGTGCCTGTATTATGTGAGTCAAGGCAGCAGTCAACGCCGCCCTCGTTCTCAGCTGAGCGGGATTGTAACCCTGCAAATTGTCTCTGCAAAGTAGACTGTGAACCAAAGATGCTGCCAAACAGGGAACTTGCATGACAAGACAAGCTAGGTGGATCTATCCGAACTGGTATGGTAGTCAGTGGAAGCCGTAAGGGCAACTGGTCTCCAAGTGGGAGCGGGCGTGTTTGCAACTCTGTCTCTGTCACACCCAGTAGAGGAATCCTTGTTGCCTCTCAGGCTAAAATAAGAATCCGTTATAATTGGAATTTGGAACCATACAGAGAAGATTCGCATGGCCCCTGCACAAGGATGACACGCATCATCGCGCAATGGTCCAATTTTTATTTTTATTTTAAAAAACGCACACATTGTGACGTACTGCGAAGTGAGCACTTGTCATGACTGTCAAGAACAGTCTTTGCCTGGTCGACAGTTCTAGAGATCAGAAGTTTGTGTGATGGACATATTAAACCAGGTGGTGAACATTGTGTTCTATTTGATTTTGATATGCTGTCTGCTTCGCCAGTTCAATGTCTTTCTAAAGCCCATTTTTGTCTTGTTGTCACATCTTTATAACATTGGCTGTCGGTGAATGTTTAGGAGGCGTACCAGGCCTGTTGCACCACAACCAGACAAAGCTCACGGGCTCTGTCCAGGCTTAGTGGACGCTGATGGAATCTTGTTGTTGGCTGTCTGTGTTGTTTTTGCCGCATGCATCCAGGTGACAGACTTGGTCAAAGAAGGTATGAACCAGTTTTCGATTTCAGCTTATGATGACCGACCCTTCTGTGTGGGGATACGAATAGTGAAGAGGCGAACAGTGGATCAGGTATGCAAATGCTGTACGAGAAAGGGACTTAACCTACTGTCCGCAATGGCAGGCTGAGCGAAATATCAAGTTAGTGTCTGTGTAATGTACCTGTCACCTGAAGCTAACAGTATCGTTATCATGAATCACAAAACCCAGCAGAGAGAGTAATTATGTTAGCTGACAAGCCAGACAAAAGGGAAAAGATATGGGAGGAGAATAACTGAAGAATTTGACGACCGCCCTTCTCTCACCAACCGGCCCTACTATCTTCTCATGGAATTGATACAATGTTGTTCTCCAAGTTTGTTGTTCTCTTAGGACCAGTACAATCAATATCAACACAGGAGCTTTTATCCCGTCAGGAGAACGAAAAGAAAAGACTGAAGTAATTTGTCATTATCTATGCAAGTTGTATAGGATCTTATAATCAACCGACGACTTTGGCAATGCGGGCCTTCTGACGCACTATCTTCTTCTGGAAGAGAGACCACCAGCAGGTAGGACTGAGGTCAGCTTCTCTCTCCTCTCTGGCCACAGGTTATGGTGTTCCCTCACTATGGTGCCTGAGCACCCTTCCCCGTGCTATGGCCAGCTCTCTTTAAGGTGTAGCTATGTCTGCCACTCTCTCTCTCTC